ATTTCCAGCAAGGTTGCCGGGGAAAAATCGAATCTCGAGCGCTGAAAGTACAATTCAAGCATGCCTTATTAAGCTAAGGGATGAAAACTGTTTAGTGCGAGCAGACAGGGGCTGGTACCTCCGACAGGGTGACTGTACCCCGATAGTGGGACTCTTAACTTGCATGGTTTTCTATCAAGTTATCCTTTTTAAATAAAGAATCCCATAATTAACACAAAATTCTATTATTTTTTTGATAACAAATAAACCTCCCCGACAAATTTCATTTTTTTTCCGACCGGGGTGGGGGAGGCTACGCTTCCCCGACGGGGAGATGGACCCCTTGTTGAGGAGCTTGGACCCCTCTTCGGGAAATTCCTGGTGCCGCCCCTGCTCTAAAAGGGGCGTTTATTGAAAGCGGGGCGTTTATTGAAAGCGGGGCGTTTACTCGAATAAATACGGTATTATAATGCCTAATCCTCCACTGCGTTTGGGTTTAATGAGAGTAGTCTGACTGGACAAATTGCCATAATCATCCGACGTAAAGCCTTATTTTCGCTCGTAAAACGAGGACACTTATTTTATTTTATTTACGTGGGAAAAGTTTGCGATTGACTGCGATATTTCTCCCACGTACAAATTGACCAAATGCTAAGACCAAATACAAAGAATTTCTAAAATATATTGTTTAAAATCGGCTTTAGAATTTATTTAGGAAAATCTTCTTTAAGCAAGAATTGAATTCATCATAGACCATAACTTAACATGTTTCTTGAGTCTCTCTCAGCCCTCTCCCAATTGAGGCTGTGCCCTTTTTGCACTTTCGGATAGGCCTATTATTAATATTAGGGCCTATTTACTCAGTATATTTTTATCAAAATTCTGGATACGCCACTGTTTGTTTCACCAAAATTTAGATCAAACAAATCTCAAATAAAATCATTGAATTTAGATCACTATTCCTTTAAACCTTCAGACGTTGCAGCGTATACCAAATTTGAGAGCACTACATTTCTAATATTATTTTGCCTTGTGGAAATCACACCTTCGATGACAACTGATGATTATATAGTGGAAAAATCTATTTCTTCTATGGTTTTATACACAAATAGGCGCCATCCATCGTTTTATTTGGAGATAAACACTTGTCCGGTGGCACCTGTCGAATTTGGTTCATACTTGAGCAATATATGCCTTGGCGCAAACAAAAGCAACGCTCCTACATCAGTCACCACATATTTTCAGAAGGAACAACTTAAAATCAAACTCGCACTACCCAGATTGAAGCAAACGTAAATATAGTTGCCTACACAGCAAATATACAGTATAGTACGTACTGTGTGACGTCACAGCCTAGCTAAACTTTTTCACAATAGGGCGTAGAAAATATCCATCGAACAGCCGCATATTGGAGTGCTGGCATATTGTGCGTCAACCTGATAGATTGCGTCAACCTGATACATTTCGAGTGTGTCATGGTGTGAACCAACATTTTCAACAAGGCGGCATTAATTAAATTTGCCTCTCCATCTGGTGATAAAGACATCTCCGATGGAATAATAGTTCATGATGGTTGTGTTGTTTACGGAAAGTTAATAGTTCATGTTGGTTTTGTTGTTTTTTAAGTTACGAGTTTTTTTTGTGTTATTGTTGGTTTTGCGGGGGAAAATTAAAAAAAATCTTGAAACAGAGAAGTTAGCTGATGAAAGAAAGAACTCTATAACAGGTGTATCTCACATAGCCGAGCAAGCGAGGGGATGAACACGAGACACTGTAGAGATAAAAGCAAAAATTATACTTACACCTACTGATAGAGTAAAGCGATATTTCAGCGATGATTAGGTAAGTAAAGAGCTTTGTTGTCCTTTAAAGCCAGGCTCAGGAGGGAAAATGTTTAGATACGTTGTACAACTGATGTTTTCCAACTCATTGAAAGGGTGTTTGATAAAGAATTCGAAAATTGTTGATAAGATACAGATTAATTATTTAAGCCTTAGAGAAATGAAGCGACGACGAAAGGAAGAAAGAACCTGAAAAATCATGTAATTTAAAATAGAAGATAACTTTTAGCGAGACCCGAAATATTAGTAACATGGTGTGCAGGATATCATCTTTAAATGTTCACTGATCAAAGAAATTCTTGATTATTTTTTATCTATCTAGATTTCAATTGCTGGAAAAATAGTTTTCAAGCAATGATTAGAAAATGGAACCGTACAGGTCATCCCGGCGGCGACGCGCGAACCGATCAGAAAACCATGTTTTTTGTTTTTTTTTGTTTTTGTTTTTTTTTTAAACAAAAACTGACATTTATAAACTGCTCGTACAAAAAAAAACTACATTTTTATTGCTTAAAACTACGATAAGAATCTCTAGCTTACGATCGTAATCTTAGTGTTTAAAATATGGATAATGTAGTCAGTCGGGGTCATACTGCCTGATATATAAGAGAGCGCTGAATCCATGTGAGTATCAGATGGCCATAATGCTTGACATAATGTATAAGTGCCTATAGGGAGAAGTTTTTAATGGACTTCATAAATCTGATTCGTCCGATAAAACTACTGAACCAATCAAATTCATGTTTGGATATACAGTAGAACCCTATATTAAGGGGACACCTTTGGGACCAAAAAAGTGTCCCTGGGGGTGTCCCCTGAATAGGGTACTCCTATTCAGGGGACACTAACCAAAAACACGAAATTGTCCCCTTATGGGGTGTTTGTTGGCATGTTTACAACGATGACATAGGCCTACATTCTATATAATTTTATTTTTATTGAAATAAGTAAAATTTCGGAACTATAATTTATAGCAACAATTTGCATTGCAAATACAATTCATTTATAATATGAAATCAGCATAAATTTAATTAAAACAACAATAGTTTTATATGTTGTAGAAGCGGTTTGGTGCAGCGGGAACGGTATGGGGTCGAGTCGGGGTTTCATTTTCTCCTGTACTGTAGCCTACATTTCGCTTGTGCCCTTGAGCATGCAAGGCACTTTATCTGCATTGCTTCTCCTGTAATCGCCTGTCTTGTCGGGCTTGTATGTAGACACACGCCTGTATGGTACAGTACATGTTTATGCCCTCCCAATTTCATCAAACCATCTCTGCATGGCTTCTCTCCACCCAGGAGTATAAATGGGTACCCGATGGGGTAGCCTACTCCTGCGATGTTTACCAGTAGTAACACTTAAAACATGAGGACCCAATGACCAGGGAAAAAGAAGCGCTTAGTTTATTATATCGACTACAATAAATACAAAGAAAAATCGCTGTATAAATGATATACTGTATTGAGCTTTCTATTGGATGAATGGAGCATGAATAGAGTAACGACTTATAGAATCCTATATGAAAGTACACGAAAAAAAAAACAAAGGAAATGAAATCCCCATGGTTAAGGATCAAAATTGACAAGATTGGTTTACATGAGTAGGCCAACACATCGGTAGGCCTATAACGACGTTTACTCTTATGATTCAGGGGAGAAAGTTTATTCATGCTCAAAAGGTGTTAAAAGTTGAATGAATTTTTCTTACTTTTGAGACTGTTGTAGTTGTTGTGATACAATGTTAAAAAAATTAAGTGTCCGCTTAATATGGGGGGTTATTTGACCATTTGGTACACTCAGAAAGTATCCCCGTCCCCTTTATAGGGGTGTCCCCGCCCCATTAATAGGGGTTCCCTTTAATAGGGTTGGCCGTAGTGTTAAAAGACATATTTCCCCTCATTTCACGGAAAAGTGTCCTCTTAATAGGGGTGTCCCCTGAATAGGGGTGTCCCAAAAGTGGGGTTCTACTGTAATTAAAAGAAAAATAATGCTTTCGAATGGAGTTTAGTCGTGGAGCGTACCGGTATCTATAGTTTTAGCACAATTAAATTTTCTTACAGAATTACTAAGGGAGCCTGGATATGGGTAGGCCTTTTATGGCGAGAAAACTTTTCAGTTAAAGCTGATACCTTAATGAAATATGCAAATTAAATAATTAATTTTTGTGTTTTGTTTTATTCACGTAGTCAGATCCGAAAATCATAACATCCACGACCACCGTGTATGTAATTACGGAACCGTAACCATGGTGGAATGATGCTTGCTTTGTTTTTTGATTGTGAGCGAGGCAGATGTGTATAAGAGACAGGTATAGTACGTACCCAGTAGTAACACTTAAAACATGAGGACCCAATGACCAGGGAAAAAGAAGCGCTTAGTTTATTATATCGACTACAATAAATACAAAGAAAAATCGCTGTATAAATGATATACTGTATTGAGCTTTCTATTGGATGAATGGAGCATGAATAGAGTAACGACTTATAGAATCCTATATGAAAGTACACGAAAAAAAAAACAAAGGAAATGAAATCCCCATGGTTAAGGATCAAAATTGACAAGATTGGTTTACATGAGTAGGCCAACACATCGGTAGGCCTATAACGACGTTTACTCTTATGATTCAGGGGAGAAAGTTTATTCATGCTCAAAAGGTGTTAAAAGTTGAATGAATTTTTCTTACTTTTGAGACTGTTGTAGTTGTTGTGATACAATGTTAAAAAAATTAAGTGTCCGCTTAATATGGGGGGTTATTTGACCATTTGGTACACTCAGAAAGTATCCCCGTCCCCTTTATAGGGGTGTCCCCGCCCCATTAATAGGGGTTCCCTTTAATAGGGTTGGCCGTAGTGTTAAAAGACATATTTCCCCTCATTTCACGGAAAAGTGTCCTCTTAATAGGGGTGTCCCCTGAATAGGGGTGTCCCAAAAGTGGGGTTCTATTGTAATTAAAAGAAAAATAATGCTTTCGAATGGAGTTTAGTCGTGGAGCGTACCGGTATATAGTTTTAGCACAATTAAATTTTCTTACAGAATTACTAAGGGAGCCTGGATATGGGTAGGCCTTTTATGGCGAGAAAACTTTTTAGTTAAAGCTGATACCTTAATGAAATATGCAAATTAAACAATTAATTTTTGTGTTTTGTTTTATTCACGTAGTCAGATCCGAAAATCATAACATCCACGACCACCGTGTATGTAATTACGGAACCGTAACCATGGTGGAATGATGCTTGCTTTGTTTTTTGATTGTGAGCGAGGCTAGATGGGCTGCTGTTGTTAATAATAGTTTTGGTATTTTGTGTTTTTTTTCAGTCATATCTGATTATTACTCTTTAAGCAGAACGTGTGGCATAGCCGCAAGGTTTACTGACATGTTTTTCTCTCTCTTTTAGAGTACTAGGCCTACTTTTAGTTAGGCTAGGCTTAGGCCTAAGACTGGCTAGCCTCCTTCCTACCTCTCGAGCCGGTGGTCCTGCATATGTTGGGCGATTGCTTTAGGCCTAGGCCGCTCCCTCCTGCTTTTTAGACGTAGTCGCCTAGCTTAGGTGGCAGGTGTTGGTAAGAATGTAAACATTAATAAAATTGTATAAGGAAAAAGGCGTACGTTTCCTTGGTTCTAGGCCTAGGCTCCTACATATTTATAAATGTAAAATTTAGCATTAATTAAATTAAAGAAGTTTAATACAAATAAATAATAAGTAAGGCCTCTAGGCATAGGCCTAGCCTATTCTAGGCTAGGCCCATGCTAGGTCAAAATGGCAATAAACCAAAACGGCTGTAACCAAAACAGCAATAAACCAAAACAGCAATAAACCAAAACAGCAATTGTATTAAATACCAAAACAGCAATAGGCATAGGCCTAGACCAAAACGACAAAGGAGCAAAATCAATACCAAGATCAAGCGCTGCTGGGCGCAGTTTATAATTTTCAAATCATCTTGAAATTGGCCCGATCTTCTGTAGGCAAATTGAATATTGCCATGGGCTCTTTTTCCCACTTTTTAAAATGTATATTTATCACATTTTTTTTCTGTATTTTGAATAAAAATACTTGAATACTTGAACATTTTCATATTTATAATTGGTTTTATGTAGGAGCACATTGGAAATAATTTTTACTTCTTAAAGAAAACTTTCACAGGCCATCCTTTCATCATCTTTTATTGTTATATTTGTTTGTCCTGCCTTGTGCGCATTTTATCTTTTTTGTACAGTATTTTGATGATGTGAAATAAACTGAACTGATACATCAAAATAAGTATTTTATTGTCGTTTTCACTTATTGCCATTGCGACTCACTGTATTGCCGTTATGGTCCATTTCTCTTCTTGTAAAAAAGTGTTGCTGTTTTGGTTTATTGCCGTTTTGTCATTGACATTTTGACTTGTTGCTGTTTTGGTTTATTGCCTTTTTGCCTGGAAAGCTCCAGGCCCCCAGTTCTAGATAAGATAGGCCGTTGGCATTAGCCTATAATAGGAGGATCACCTATTAATTTAATTATTAGACCTACCCTCACCTCTGCCTTTCTTACAACAAGCCCCCGTGGTTCCTAATCAGCCTCTTGTTACCTGCTGCTGCATGTAGGCCTAACCATCATTTAAAAAATATTATTGAATCACATTTATTTCAGCCAACAGGCCAGACTGACTTCTTTCTTGTTGTTGACTCTGTTGTGTATGAACCTATCACTACGGTAGGTCCATTTTATGGGCTTTACCTTGTTTTGAGAGGAAGCTGTACATAATCACAATGGTGCAAAGTAAGTTCTAGAAATGTACCTTATACCTTATATTTAATGATGTCACTTAATAATAATAAATTTGCAAGTTAACTATGCAATTTATTAATTAATTACACCAAAACAGTGTATCTACTTAATTTCTGAATTCATTTTTGTGCTTGTTGATAGTCACTGTAGATCTGATCCGGCGTCGGGCTGAGCACAATAACATGGAGTTGTCTACACTGGAAGAAGTTTCATTACATCAGCAAGATATTGAAAAGTAAGATCCCTTATTAATTATAGCCATAAAGCTGTTGTATAACTTAACACCATTAACTTCAAAATAAATCATGAATTTGTTTGTGAAAATAAACGAATGAAATTACCAAGAATACATCAAGAGCAAGGCAGGAGCAGTGCCCAAGGCCAATGGTTTGTTCCACTCAATCTAACAAACAATGATAGATCTAAAAACACAATTATCATTTATTACCTAAAATTTACACATTACACTTCATTGAAAGTGTCTTGAATACAAATGTGTATATTTAACAAGAAGGCACACAGCTTTCCTGGTTAAGTAAAAGACAGCTAAACGTTGAGCAGAGGGAAGAGTGTTCCAGTGTGTAGCTGCTTAACGTTTCCATACTTAGAATGGAAAAAATGCATAAAAAGTAAATATATGTTGGCCATACACTGCGCCACAACTACTGTAGTTACGAGAGTTAGAACTTGGGATGTTTACATTTTTACAGGCAGAGATAGATGAATGCATGTTCAATCTAATGACATCTACATATATTATTAGACCCACAAGAAATACAAACAAAACATAATTATATTTTTTATTGTGCTATTTTAGAATTGAATTACTTGACAAAGTTTGTAGAGAGCTAAAGATTATTTACTTGCAAAGCAACTTAATACCAAAAATAGGTAAGAAATAGTGAACATTTAAAAACTAAGATAGTATAATACATACTCCAAGTATCAAAATACACGCCATTTGTGTCGGGTTCAATATTTCAACATTAATTATGTCATCATTACGAATGGCGATACTTGGAGTATGCATTATACTATCTTATCTGAGATTAATCAGTGGACCTTTCGGTTTTTAAATACTAAGTATGAAAATTATTTTGTACTGAAGTGTATTGATTACTGTTTTAGTTTCTGTTAATGCTTGCGGTACACCACATAGATAACTATGAAAAGAACTGCTGTTGAGAATATCTCAATGTTTTGATTGAGTTGCTTCAGTATTTATCAGAGGAGAATATATGCAGAGAGTCCAATCAAAAAAATATGTTTAAGCACCGCAAGTAATTAACACAATAATTCGCCATGCAAACCTTTAAACAATATATTTTTTTAAGTTTTTTATGTAATTTTGACACATAGCTCCACAAGAGGGAAAGCCTTTAGGAGCAAGGATCTTCAGAATAAAAGGTAGTTTAACAACTGCTGAACAGTCCTTCACTAGGCTTTAACTTCCTGTATTGTAAGATGAAGTAAGATGAATATCTAATTTATTTATTTTTTTTGAATTTCTGATTCATAGAAAATGTGAAACGCTTGAAGAAATTGGAATATCTCAACCTTGCTTTGAACAACATTGAAAGGATAGAAAATCTTGAGGGTAAGTAGAGGCAAACTGTGGGCATGATGTAAGTATAGAGTTGCACTGAAATGTTAAAAAGCAGAATCATGCAAAATGTATGGTATGATGATTTTTGCACAGATTAAGATTGTTTGAAGGACTATATAGAGATTCAGCAAATTACAATTACCTCAATCTAATGTAATTAGTTTTAAATAGAAATTGATGCATTGTAAAACTGTGAATAGAGACAGGTTCTTTTAGATTTTACCACAGTAGGAACTCATATCTTTTTGGTTTTATACGATTATAAATTTGATGTACAGTCACCAGTGGAAAAGCAATGATTTGTTTCCACCAAAAATTTGTAGTAATTCCCAATGCTGGAAGAAGCTAAATATTCCTCAGATTGTGTTTGGGCATTAGGCACCCTTTGAAATCTATGTTACCAAGAAATTTAGTTTTATCACAACAGAGTGGATAATAATAATAATATTATTGAGATTTTTACCGCACCTTTTGCCAAGGGATACATGGTGCTGGTGATATTGTTATTATTACCGCTGGTCATCAGATCCATAATCAAACCAGCACAAGTGCAACCTCCACAGACTAATACTTGCAATGCCACATCATCCTACCATCCTAATTCTGTGTCCTGAGGCGAACGTAAGTAAAGTGCCTTTCCCAAGGACACAAGCAATGCAACGAGCATCGGTCTCCAACTCCCAATCTCAATATCAGAAGTCCAACACCTTACACGCTGCACTACATGCTGGATGTTGTGAAAGCAAGGGAAACAAATTTAAAGTTGCTTTTTTTTTAAATTGCAGGTTGCGAATCATTGAAGAAATTAGACCTGACAGTTAACTTTGTCGGGGAGCTAACAAGCATTGAATGTCTGAAGCAGAACTATAATTTGGAGGAATTGTAAGTGATCATACTCTACTAGTACTAAAAATATGTTTGATCTGATTTGGAGGGGGTTTTTTTTAATCAGAGTACAGTGTACCCTCCAATTCAAAGCCCCTCTTATTCAAGACCACTTTTTCAAAGAACCAAATACCAATCTTCAATCTTATTAACTAAGCTAACCCTCTATGTAGAGACCGAACTCGGAGACCACCACAAGTTTTTAGGTCCCATTGGCTATGTTCTCACACGGCAGCTAACGGTTAGCAGGATCCGGATCCTGCTAACCGTTAGCTGCCGTGCGTCCATGCAAGAAAATCCCGATCCGGAGAAAGAAACTGGAAATTGTAAATGCGTACGTGTGATTGGTTGATGATAGAAACGCCCTCAACTTGCTAACCGATAGCGCTTGCTAACCGTTAGCGCTTGCTAACCGTTAGCGTATCCAGATACCGCTAATGGTTAGCGCTAACCGATCGGGCGTTCTCACGCATGTGCTAACGGTTAGCGCTAACGGTTAGCTCCCGATCAGGATACTAGGGCTCTCGTGAGAACCAGACTTAAGTGGTTTCAATTTGGAGGGCGAATTGTATATGTGTGAAGGTAATTGATAAATATAGGTGATAACTGCAATGGTATTTATAGTACAATAAAATGATGGTGACCTTGAAAAAGATGGGAGCCTAAACTTTTGGTACCTGTTTGCTAATTGTTATTACACCTTCACCAATTATTTCCTTTCAGGTTCTTGACTGGCAACCCCTGTGTTGATTTTGATGGTTATCAGGAATATGTGATTGCAACTCTTCCACAACTTAAGGTATTATTCTTCGGTCAAGCAGTATCTCTGATGATATGTATTTGGGGAATCTGTGTCCCCACTGGCAATATTGCAAATGTCTTTAGCAAGATAAATTTGAAATTGTTGACATGTCACTCTGTAACCTCTATTTAAAGTCTTGGCCCCACCACTGATTACATCTTGTTTTGCCAGTTCCATGTAAAGTCGGTCATTAATTGGTAGTTACAATATTAGAATTTATTACAAAGGTCTTTGATAATCATAGTGTTTGGACAATGCCATGGTGTTAACAATCTGTAGATCAAATCAAAGCTGGATTTGCCCCTATTTTTTGCACATTATTTTTACAGTTTATTGCATAATCAGTCATTAAGAACTTGTAGAATTTATTCCTAAGCTGAAAATATGGATTGTGCCATAGCGAATTTGTTTGTGAAAATCAGCAGTTTATTGTAGAATTATGCATCAAACAAATTTACAATTTATTTCAAATTGGCTATTGTAGCGTTTGGATGGTGCCGTTGTAGAGAAGTCTGCAAGAATCAAAGCTGTCCAAGATTTGCCCAGAGTCAGGGCCAACATCATCCAGCAGCAGAAGGAATACCATATAAGAAGGGTAATTATATTTCTTTACAAGTTTCTTCACAATTTTAAATTATTTTACATCCAACAGCAAGTTCACTTGCTAATTACAGCAGTGATCTTATATGTATTAACTAAATCTCATTGTGAGGCTTAGAGAGTAGAGATGTTTTTAATTGTGAAAAAAATGCATCCTGGTGGCTGATGGGATTTGAACACATTCTTGATGATGACATAATTAATGTTGAAATATTGAATCCCGACACGATGGCGTGCATTTCGATACTTGGAGTATGCAATTGTATTATACTATTTTATTTGAGATTAATCAGTGGACCTTTTGGTAACCCTGGAATTGTAAGGAAAACACCTTAACCACCAAGCTGCAGTTTGTATTTTATTTCTTCAAAGGCCATCATAACAGTTTACAATTCAAATCAAGTTAACTTAAAAAAAGTGTGTGTTATGATTACAACTGTTATACCACCTGTACTTTTAACGATTGTTTTATTCAGGAAAGAGAAAAGAAAGAAGAGGAGGAAAAAGAAGCTAGTAAATTAAATAAGAAACCAGGTTTTGATGGCAGATGGTACACTGATGTAAATTCACATAGGTAACTTAATAAAACTTGAATGTAACATTAATTTTTCATATATTATGGCAACATAAACAGACAATACTCTATTGCTTGTGAAGGGTAATAATCTAATCCATGATTTTGAAACCAAGGGAACAGAAATAGAGCAGTTTCTGAATGTGATTTGCTTGTTTAAAAGAGAGGAATGTCCCTGTTACTAGTGTATGCCATTGTTTAATTGTATCAGTGATCTTGTTCAAGTTAATATTTTTTAAACATTTTCTGTTGTACAGTGGAGTACAAGATATGAAAGAGGAGGAAGATGGGTTAGATGATGACAAAGATGATGAAGAAAATAGCAAGTAAGTATGATACATTTTGGTATCTAGCATCATGTATTTACCTGTAATGCTTTTATCAGCGAAGTCTCTTTATGAAACTTAGGGAGAGGGGTTGTTTTTAGTCATGACGAAAAGAAAAATATTTGGACCCAGGACCCCGCGATTAGAGGATAAGCATCTTAACATGTTGGCTGCCAGGGATGAGTATACTCATCCCACAGGGTGTTGCTGAGTGTGCCAGGGACGAATATACTCGTCAAAATTGGGGTAACATTCTAGTGTTTATTACTTCCTTGTTATACATTGTAGAACCAAAGACTTAACGGCTGGTAGTTCAGGGAAGATACTCCTAGACGATAACTTACAAATGACGCATGTACGTAAATCAACCCATGCATAGTTGCACTTGGCGTAGTCAATAAAAAGTGCTGTCACAGTGCCACCGACAAGTTTACTCGTCCTCTAATATTTTCGCGCCACTTTATTAGACACATCATTTTGACTAGGTAAAATTTCAAAAAAGTATGTTTGTACATGTAAACATGTTTTGGCACACAGGAAGGAACCTTAAAAAAAAGATCTGGCAGTCAACATGTTAACTACTTAGTTATTCAACTCCACATTGTATTGTGATTTAGAATAATTTCATGAGCATAAATCACTTGGAGTAAGAGTTTATTTTGTTGTACAGATTTTGGGAAGAAAAAGTTGGATTTACTCCAGAGTCTCGGAAAGCAGTTCATGAACACGTCCGGAAACAACGGGAAAAAGAAGACATTAAGAGGTAATGATTATAATTTTTTCACAAAAAAAGATTTTCTGCACCTTTGATTGAATTGTACTGCTGGAGATTTATTTATTCTTAACTTCTTTTCTAGAAATGGCCCTGAACCAAAGAAACGTGTTGTGCGTTTAGTTGGAGATGATGGCAGAATATTAAACGTGAACGAAGCAAAGTAATTGCATTTTGTCTTTATTTGTACTTATAACAGGCACACACAACCAGAATGTTTCTTTTCTCACATGAAAATTGTATTTTGATTTTTAATTATGCTCATATTATAGGTCAACATTAAGCATCAACATTAAAATTTAACACTGTCAGTATATTTTAAGTGGTATCAAAAGTATTTTAGCATTATTAGAATGTTATTGACTAGACTTTTTTCTATATTAGCACTATTTTAGTAGTATTAATATGTGTATTTGATTGTAATTTTAGAATTGACTTTACAACATAGGGCATTGACATATGTGTACACTGTATGTGTATTTCTATTTTTAGATTGGATTTCACATTAACAGATAGTGAAGATGGCAGTTCGTTGCTTCTTGATGTTGCATGTTTTAAACACCTTGATACATCACTAATGGATACTGATGTCCAACCAAACTATGTAAAGGTCATTGTTAAAGGAAAGGTACAATCCACAGGTTGATATGTAAAAAGAAATTAGTATGATAAAGGCTCTGTCCATGCTATAAAGTTGTGTGACAAATATGGACATGATGATGTTATATGTACAGTATGGCCAACTCACAGGTATTTGTCACATAAACCTTTATAGTGTGGACACTCAGAGCGCTAGGGAGGATTTGTTACATGTGCCCTCGGTCTTCCATATACTGGATGCTTCCATCAGGTAGGCTATGCCCCCTGTGAATGTTACTGGTAGATTTGTCTACAAGTCCTTAATAGAACAAGGAATTCTTATTATTATATCATATCATTTATTTTGCCTTAGCATAACATACAATACAAAAACATAACATATAATACAAAAACACACATTATATTAGACCTCTGTGTAAATAATATGCACTTTCATGAGTTAATTTCTCTTGTTATTTGTTTTGCTGTATTTTGAAGTTGAGCATATGGAATTAAGTCAAATCAAAAGTATATTTCTGTTAAATTGTTTAAATTGTATCATATTTTTATGTACAGTCTTGTAATATTCAATCACACACCTTGGTTTTTGTTCATGTTTCAAAAGAGGAATATATAACCATCCCCATCAAGATATGAACTACAGACTTGTATGATAATTGTGCAATTTTTATATTTTAGGTTTTGCAACTTGTTTTATCAGAGGAAGTTAAACCAGATTCCAGTTCAGCTAAAAGGTCACAAACTACAGGTCACCTCCTTATAGAGATGCCAAAGGTAGGATCATAAATAGGACAAAGATAGGAAAATTCAAAGATAAACACAGAAGGAAGCTCATCCAGTTTATTAC